CTGAGTTTATGTTATTACCATTTTTATTGTAATGTACAAAATCAATGCGAAACATGTTAACAATTTATTGGTTTCGGACTGAAATGAATTATAAAGGCTTTTGACCCACATTCTTTGCTTCAGCGAAAACTTGGTATACTAGAGGATTTTCACACCTATTTAAAAGGCTGTGTCTCAATCATCCGCAGTAGCAGAGTTATGAATAAGGTATCATTAGACAGACTATTAGTTACTCTTTAATATGAAATATAATACAAGGTCAAACAGGTTATATTAATTTTTAATGGGAATCTGACAAAATTGGGTATACTTTTTAGACGCACTAACTTGTAGAGCGCATATCGGAGGGGGGGGGGGGCACGTAAAATATACAAAAAGAAACTATCTGGGAAAGCATGATCAAAAGACTGTCACATTTAATAAGATGAAGGTATCCTGCCTTTCTTTTCAATTTTTAATAGTCAGCTTTGTGTTTAAAAGGTATATCTATTTAATTGATTTATATTATCTTATGATTATATATATGTATTTTGACTTACGTTGATGATTTGTACCTTGATTGTTTTTTACTTTTTATAATGTTGACAAAATGCAGAAGAAAAAAATCAAACAACAAACAAACATTCCCATTTTTTCATGTGATCCCTGAATTGGCGAAATTTCCTTTGACGAGAGATGGCGCCTTACAAAATGCTTATTGCACCAACACTGAACTCTGGGTCAGTGTGCACCATAGAGATATATATCTCTATGGTTAAGCCAGTTCACGGTTGCAGTCTGAGCATGAGCAGATCAAGGTCATTGCAGAACAAATTGTGAAATACACGGAGACGGAATACTGGATACGTGCTCATGAAAGTTATGTAATCATTATTCATTTATGCACTAGCAGAGCACTCCATGATACACAGGTGGAAGTATTCTTTGAAAAGGGGAAACAAAGGCTAAGTATGTAGCATCTCCATCGCTGTAGGAGTGATAATTTCAAAATGTACAAAGTGGGACCTCTTCATGTTTTGAAGATCTGTGGATATTCGGGGTCATTGCAGCCATGTGCTAACCGTGAACTGGTCTACTAGGAGCTTTATTCCAGAGATGTCCCTAACGAGCCAATCACAAACAAATACCCCCTCCCTCAGAACTGCAGCCAGGGGCGTCTCCAAATGGGGGGTGTGGAGTGCGACACCCTCCCCCCCCCCCCCCCCCACCTGTCAGGATATTGTCGGTACAATTGCGCTGCCGTCGGGAAAAAAAAGAGAAAAGGGGGAGGGGAAAAAGAGAGGGAAAGGAAAGAAAAGAAAAGGAAAAGAAAGGAAAAGAAAGGAAAAAGGAAAAGAAAGGAAAGAAAGGAAAGAAAGGAAAGAAAAGAGAAGAAAAGAGAAGAAAGAAAAAGAAGGAAAAAAAGAGGGAGGAGAGGAAAGAAAGGAAAAGAAATAAAAGGAATAAAAGAAGAGAAAAGGGAAACAAAAGATACGGGGGGGGGGTGAAAGAGAGGAGAGAAATGGGGAAGTAAGAGCCTGAGAGATGGGGGTTGCTGGGTGGAGTCGTCTCGTCGAGGGAGCAAGAAAGACACGCATACACGTAAATATGTTGCTGCATGTGTCGGGTCAGCTGTGTCGGTATTCTTGCTCGATTCTCGTGTACTATATCAATGCAGAAGTTTGAAGTCGGTGAGATGGATAATGTCGGTCGGCCGACAAGTTTTTTTTCCCCTATACGAACTGTGACTTTTTATCCGCTGTGACGACTTCGAGAGTGACTACAACTACAATACTTGTATTTTCTCGAAGTTTCACTTTAATATCAGCTAAAGAAATCAGAGGTTCGAAATTTTCGGTGAGACTAAATTCAAACAAGGATTAAGAGTCAACAACGGTATACAATGAATCGCCTTGCTTTCTTTAATAATTATGTTGATGAAACGCCAAAGCTTCCGGGCTCCGCGCGGAAGGGGGAAAATTCATTTAGACAATGATTGAGAGCCGAGAACGGTACAACGAATCGTCATTTATCTCTAATAATTTAGGGAAACGTCTAAGCTTTAGCGCTTCGCGCGGGAGGGGGAAAACTGAATTCAGACAACGATTAAGAGTCGAAACCAGTACAACGAATCGTCTGCTTTCTCTCATAATTTAAGGAAACGTCAAAGAGGGGGAAACTGAATTCAGAAAATTAGGATTAAGAGTCAAGAACGGTACAACCAATCGTCTTCTTACTCTAATATTCTAAGGAAACGTCAAAGCTTTCGCGCTTAGCGCTGGAGGTGGGAAACTGAATTCAGACAAGGATTACGAGTCGAGAACGGTACAACAATAGTCTACTTTCTCAAATAACTTAATGAAACGTCAAAGCTTCCGCGCTTTGCGCGGGAGGGGAGAAATTGAATTCAGACAATTAGAGTTAAGAGTAGAGAACGGTACAACAAATCGGCTTCTTTCTATGATAATTAAATGAAACGTCAAAGCTTCCACGCTTCGCGCGGGAGACCTCTCACCCACCGGCCCCTTTAAGTGATTCGCTTGCTTACTACTGTCCCTCCCTAAAATAAGATCTTATAGCTACGCGCCTGTATTAAAATATATAGCTCTGAAGCCTCTGATGCTGACTAAGTTGACGAAATAATTCGTATATAAAATTATGTCGTCGAGGAAAATGACCATTTGCGCATATGCAAGTATTATAGATAGTTCATAGGAAAAACAATTTAGCCTTCCGCCCCGGATTTGTAGGGTTAAATTTGTAGATATTGGGACATTTAATTTTGTCGGTAATTGGTGGCTAGTTTTGTCGGTAATCGTTGGCCTCTAGTCTACACCCCCCCCCCCCCCCCCCCACTGAAAAAGGTCTAGCGACGCCCCTGACTGCAGCTGCCAATTAAAAGTTGACCCATGATGAATGTGACAGTGGGATTGAGAGACGTAACAAAATGAAAGCAAAGAGAGATTCGATGAAAGACAATGTCTCCATATATTTTATTGATCAATATAGATCCAACTCTCATGAAGAAAACAAATGTGGGTATTGCTTGGTTAAAATACTATGGTATTTAAAAAAAAAGGGTCAATTAACTTTCTTTGAAAAGTATCTGGTAATGTTGAATAGAAGAGGTGCAATCACTTAATGTCGATTCCGATGCAGGTCACACCGCTTACCAATTAATAATGGAAGGTTTGAAAATAATCCTGAAGAAAGTAAAATTGAATGTCCTTGATGTAATTTAAAGGTTTTTGGAGATGAATTTCACTATATTTTTGTCTGCCCTTTTTTCAAGAAAGAAAGGCAGTTATACTTAGATAGACAGTTTGTTGTGAGTAACCCTAGCACATTTCACATGGACAAATTATTTAATAGATCTAGCGTTAAACAATAAGAAACTCGTAAAATTCATAAGAGTAATAATACAATTCTTTTCGTTGGTTTCTATAAGGCTGAAAGGCATGGTCCTATTTTTGTTACTAAAAGTGTAGTTACTCGTTATGGTAGACAAACCAAACCACGTGATATTTTAGACTTATTATAACTTAAAACTGTATAGTGTATACTTAGTCTTTAGCTCATGTTTATTGTGTTTTAGAAATATAAAAATGTATGTATCATGTCTATGTATTTTATTATCATATTTTACTTTGTTTTTATATATCTTTCTGTATTGTGTTGTAAATATGTTGTGCTCTCATACCCCTGAAGGGGGTCGATAGAGTCGAATGAAACCTTACCTTATCTTATCTTATCTTGTTAATGATGCATTGAATCTAGTTGTGTTTACTTGATGAGTTGTTCTTTGGGAAAGATGGGTTTCTTCTTTTTAAAGAACACACTGTGTTATTATAGCCATGTTTTGGAGATGATGGAAATGCATTTTGAGAGAAAGTGACGTAAGGGGAACTTAAGTCTAAGAATTTTCCATTCTCAATTAGAGAAATAGATTAAAGGAGTATGAGGAGAAAAAAATTACTTTAGAATCGATATCTGTTGTTAGATAATTAGGTCACACATAATAATTATTATTTGATTCTCTCATTATTCATCAAATGTATTGATTTATGTTTATGCCATGATCTTCACTAAGTTCCCAAAAAGAAAATGATTTCCTCATGCATTCATGGTTCCCCAAGTCTTGATGATAATGATGTTTTTTTTTTTTTAATACATGTATTTCTATAAAATTGTCTTTCAGAACATAGAAAGGGGAACATTTTTATAAAAATTATAAAAACATAACTCATTTATGCTAGATTATCGGATCTTTATAAAATGTGTTTATCTTGTCAACAATTATATTCTGTTTCTCTAGGTACCAACTAAATGTTCATTAGGATACCTGATTTCTCTTAATTCGATATTACATGTTTTAGAGTAGAAGTACTTTTGTAATAGTCCTTTTGGATTAAAATTGGCCTTGACTTTAAAACAATTTAGATCAATATTTGCTGTGTTTGCTTATTGCCATAGCACTTGTAATCCATAAATCTCTTGTTTCTTGTAAATTTGACGTTTTAAGAACAAATTCTCCCCCCCCCCCAACTCTCTCTCTCTCTCTCTCTCTCTCCGGCTTCTATCTCCCTATCTCTCTCTGTCTCTCTCTGTCTGTCTGTCTCTCTCTGTCTCTCTCTCTCTCTCTCATAATTGTTTTGTTTTGTTGTTGTTCTTGGTTTTTTTTGTATTGTTTTTGCTGTTGTTCTATTTTTTTTGTTTTGTTGTTCTATTGTTCTATGTTGTTCTATTTTCCTATCAATTCAGCGGAATTAGAAGAGTTTATATTAAAGGGTCGATCAGAACTTGCTTTTTAGTAACAATTTGACAGTTCATGTAATTTAGGTCTATCTATATCATTTACACGACGATGTCAGATGGTGATGATAACAATAATGGTAAAGATAATTCTGCAGTCCATTAGCCTATCTGTCCGATTTTACCTCTCCTATCTATGTTTGTCCCGAGTGCCCTGCCCCTGCCCCGCCCCTGAATATCCGCCGCGTCATCGATCGTATACATTTATTTGAACCTAGAGCTCTGCCCTGCATCTGCATTCATGCACGAACGACTCAGCTCAGCTCACGATTTCCTCTTCTTTCTTCTTCAATTTCAGAGATAATTTAAGATTTTAAAGGTAAGTTTTTGACTGCATTTGTTTTCATTAGACATTACAGAGAACAAATGTTTATGGAATTTGGTTGCAGAATTACCACCATATCTAGTTGTAAAAGTTTTGAGGTGCGTCTCCGTCAGTGCAGTTTTTCGGCGGTACCCCGCACTCCGGGCCCGCACTGCTAAGCTGCCTGAACTAAGCCTAGGGGTTGAATTCCAGCAGTAACGGCCTCGCTGTCTGGCAATACTGCTGACGACTATTAGATCTAATTATTATTAAAGTTGATCTACACACAATGTAAATAAGGTATTCTTGATCATTTTTGGGTATATCGCAATTATATATATATATATAGGGTCTATATATATATAATATCGCAGTTGTCGACAGTCTAGTTGCAGACCGCAAAATTGACCACGCCCACGGCATCAGAAAGACGAGGGACAAAACCATTTATCCAGACATGGATCGAATCCAGATCAATCCTGATCCTGCTGGAGTGTACAACTCTACATAATTATACACAAGGCAAGGCTACTGGTCCAGATGGTCCACAAGCAACGTTCCTGAAGGAACTTGCCATGGTACGTTGGAGCTTACAGTTACACCTATCTAGTATCTTCACTATCCTCTTTCAAGCATCAGTCGACCAAGGCATCATTCCTGATGACTGGAAGAACGCTGATGTACCGGTACTGTAGATATAAAGCGGAAAACTACAGACCAATCTCACTGACCTCCTTGGAACATATTGTTTGCAGTAGTATTCTTGACCATCTCGACAACCATTACATCTTAAGTGATGCCCAACATGGCTTTCGTAAGAAGCGCTCATGCACATCTCAACTATTACTAGCTGTGCATGATCTTGCTAGAGGTATTGAGGATGGCGAACAACTTGATGTTATCCTTTAGGACCTGTCAATTTTGTCAAAAACCTTTGACAAGGTTCCCCATAGTAAGCTGATGTACAAAGTCGACTATTATGGAATCAGAGGCAATATCCATGAGTGGATTGATAATCTACTCAGCAACCGTTCCCAGAGGGTTCTGCTTGAAGGAGTAAAGTCACGTACATCACCTGTTCTTTCAGGGGTTCCTCAAGGTTGCATGGTCCGACCTCTGCTCTTCCTCCACTTCATCAACGACCTCCCCGAGTATGTTTCAGCACAGTCTACAGTGCAGCTCTTTGCTGATGACTAAAATATCTTGATTTTGGTATCGGATCAAACAGAAAATATGCGATTAAAAACTACCCTGGCTTCCCAGGTAAGTTTGCTTTGCCGAAAAACGTCCACAGGCTAAGTACTCTGCCCAATCTATGACACCAGTCGCCGATAGGAAATCTAGCAGGTGTTTTAAGATAAAGGTGAGTTCTGGTCATCCGATTGCATTGTGACAGAAAAGATGTGGAATGGATCAGAAAAAGTTGATGATATAGCATGTCAGTATTGGTGTGTAGGACTGCAAAGTTCTGGAGTCACCGAAATCATAATAAATTTTGCCCAGTCTTGGTAAAGCAAAAAGCACTGTACGCAGAAAGATGTATATGGGACTACACAAATGGTGTCGGAGCTACTAACCTTGATTTCCTAATCTTTCTATGCTCATTACTCAGCCAGCATACATTTTATACCAAAATTGTTTGGCATATGACATTTATTTGCAATCTTGAACATTCAGTGTAATTTTCGTTTGATTTTGTGAGAACTAATTTTCTTTTTTTTTACCAGAACTCACCTTTATCTTTAACTGGTAAGTTAAGAGATTAAAGTTCCTTGCTCACCGGGCCATGCGTAGAGTTGCGTAGTGTTGCGTACCGACTACGTCTAGCGTACGCTGTCCTACGTAACTATACGCTGAAGAACGCAACGTAGCATGTGAGATGGACGCAAAAAAATCAACATGGTTAAGTTTTTGCGTACTTTCGTCGTAGATGCAGAAAGTACGCTTCTTCTTTTTTTAGTTCGAAATTTAAAATTTGATATTGTTTTGTAGTTATTTAGATGGTGTTTGTCGCAAATAGGCGTGAACGTTGTATGTTGAAAAGGTGTGTACCCAGAGTCTCTAGAAGTACGCACCCCTTTCCTCCATTCTTTCATTCTAGTCGGGATGGTCCATTCAAGGAAAAGGAGAATTTGTTTAAAACTTGACAAATTTAGCGTTACAAGAGATAGACAATTATTACTTGGGTTACCCGTAGTAGTTTGGTACATGCTTTGATTGTGACGTGAGGCATATAACGTTATGACGTACATGTATCGTAGCACACAGATTGAAAGAAAGCAAGAGGTGCATCGATCTCAATCTATGTCATGTCTCGATCTCGAGCATGTTATCAAAAAAGAAAATACTTTGAAAGAATGAAATTATCGTACCCATACATTAAATATTCAAATTAACAATGTGATAAGGAAGGTTTTATACATCAAGGCTTTTGATCTAATTATATTCTATTAGTTCAGTAATTTCTTTGTTTAAATGGGAAATGGATTAAAGATTCATTAATTCCTTCCTTCATTTTTTTTTGGAAGGGGGAGGGGGGGGGGTTATAATTGTAGGCCTATGTCGTGGCAGCTGATATCTTTGTAGTCTCCTAGTATTTACTTTCTTTATATTTCAAAAGCTGCTTAATAATGGATGGTAATGAAAATAATGGTAGGATAATAGCAAGTTCTAGAAATGCTTTACCTCCATTGTAATCTGCATCGATCTTCTTTCAATATATTTTCTCCTATTTTCTAAATTAACAGAAAATGCCAAAAAGAAAATATACAGAGGCATCACTGGCGGAGGCCATTAATAGAGTTCGGCTGGGCGAGCTCTCCCAAAGACAGGCTTCGGCAGAGTACGGTATTCCGAGGGCAACAATGTTCGACAAGGCATCAGGTCGACGACCCCCTGAAATGTGTGCCATGGGGCCATCTCCGTACTTGACCGTGGATGAGGAAGCGAGAATTGCAACCTGGGCAATTCAGATGTCTAAGATTGGGTATGAAAGGACCAAGCCCCAAATATTACAGGTAATAAGATACACCAAAATACAGTACCATACTTAATGATAAAATACAATTCCACAATCGGCGTGTTTAAATTGTGACTTTATGGAAGATAAAATAATAAAGCTCAATTCTGATTTAGATTGAAGATTCATATTGAAAGTATTTCAAATTAATTCAACAAATTGTTCATTTCATTTGAATTAATTACATCATTAAACATTAATTCATATTACGATTATACTTTTTCTTCTTTTTCTTTTCTTCACCTCATGCAGATGGCCCAGCAGATCATCCGAGAAGATGGGAGACCCAACCCTTTTAAGGAGGACAAACCGGGGAAAAATTGGTTTAGCAGATTCATAAAGAGGAACCCCACCCTTTCCCTGAGGACCCCCCAAGCTTTAGGCAAGGAGAGGGCAGTACTCACCCCTAAAAAAATTGACAGGTGGTTCGAGGGACTTCACTCCTACCTTGTCGAACAGAATGCCGTCAGCATCCTAACCTCACCAGATCGGATCTGGAATGCTGATGAGAGCGGCTTTGCTCTTTCGCCGACGAGTGGCAGGGTCATAGGAATGAGAGGGGCAAAGAACAACTTAAGTACTTTGGAGGCGGCATCCGCAAGTGGCGTCTTCTGCCCCCCGTTTATTATCTACCCAGGGAAGAGGGTCTCTCGTAAATGGAGACCGATGGAAGGAGCACCGGAAAGTTGGTTTTATGGCTTCAGTGAGAGTGGATCGATGAACTCAGAGCTGTTCCTCTCGTGGCTCGCAGACCACTTCCATCCGTTTTTACTGAGCCGTGGAACCCACTTTCCAGTGCTCCTTCTTGTGGATGGTGATGCTAGCCATGTTGATCTTCAAGTAGCCCAGTATTGTCAAGATAAGCAGATCATATTGTACCGGATTCAGGCGAACGCGAATCATGTCATCCAACCACTAGGCCTGTTCGTCTTTGGCCCGTTGAAGAAAGCGTTTAAGGAGAGGAAAGGAGAGTGGAAGGATGGTCATTCTGGGCAGTTTGTCACCAAGGCTTCCTTCGCCGGCGTGTTCGCCAAGGCTTGGGCGGACATCAAACCTGAGTTGGCCATAGAAGGATTCAGAGCAGCAGGCATATTCCCTTTTACTAGGGGATATTGCCGGGAGAAGCTGGCTCCGTCACAGGTGCTTACCATCCAAGCAGCACCACCTGCAAGAGCCGCTGCAGCAACACAAACAGCCGCCGCAACACAACCACAAGTCGTCCTAGCACTTCTAACAGCCTTCCCAGCACCACTACCTGCTGCACCACCAGCTGCACCATCCGCCCAAGAAGCACCAACACAACCACAAGTCGTCCCAGCACCACCACCTGCAACAGCCATTCAAGCACCACCACAAGTCGTCCCAGCACCACCACCAGCTGCACCAACCACAACAGATAATCCCGCCATGCCAAGAAGATCTTCTTCGTGTCCAAGGCCACCTAACTACGTTTCCTCGGCATTGGACAGGTCCCTAAAATCCCCGGAAGCTACGAGGATGGCATCGAAGAGGAAAGCGGGAGATGAGCTCCCAGAAACCATCTCTGTTGCACATTTGATCAGTTACCAGAAGAAGAGGCGAGAAGACAAGGAGGCAGGAGAGGCCATAAAGAAGAAGAAGAGAGAAGAAAGAGAAGTCAAGAAGGCAGAGAAGGAGAAGAGGAATGGAGGGAAGAGGTCCAGAGAGGAACCCAGGGACGAAGAAGTAGACGAGATGGTGTGCAGCAAGTGCCAAGATCGTTTTTATCCAGCTAGGGTATATCCTCAACTGCGACGCAATTTTATGACATTCTTATTGATTTGTAACTAACTAACATTATTTTTTAGAGCCAATTTTGTTAATAGGGGTCTATTATTTTTTCTTCAAACATCAGACTTGTCTCCATACCATTTGAGATGAATTTTTCTTCTTCTTAAATGACTTTAAAGCCCCACTGCACTTCTTATAGCTACTTGCGCCATCTATATAGCAAACAATGCCTAATCGATGCCCCATGGTCCCCTTTTTCTTATGTTAATTGTGAGCTGATTTGATGAGATGAGATAACCACCTGTCAGTGACCATGCAGGGAGGTTTAATCCCTCCTAGTCAAACTAGTGAAGAGGGGCTTTAAAGGAGTTCCCGTCCAATGTGTGCTGTTGAACCCATGAAAGAATTTTAAATCTCGGTTAAACCTTGGGTTGGCTGGACCAGTCTTGATTTGACATTCACTAGACTAGCGATTACTCTTTGCTTGATTTTTTCAAAAGTATAGGGCTAGGTTTAGGGTTTGGGTTCAAGTAAGGGTTAGTTGTTTGGACTAGGATTATTGATGTTAAGAAATTGTTTTGTGTAGAAAATAGACCGAAAGCTTCCGTCTCTGATATCGGCGGTTGTTCCGCTGAGACTAAATCCGGCTTCACTAACTCCCTCTATAAGGAAGGTTGACACATGTCAGTTTTATTATAGAATTCCCCATACTAGATGGTTATTTCTGTCTATGATACTAGAAGCATATTGTGTAGAACTAGGCCCCTGTTTCATCAAACTTTTTATCAATATCAAGTTCGATAATTGTTATAAGCTACTGAAATCCTGCATTTGTTTGGCTGTGAGCAGATGTGTCATAAATAAACATGTTGCAGCTGTGATTGATAACAAGTTTTATGAAACAGGGGCCTTGACCAATTTATTAAAAAAGAAATGAAAACAAAAGGTAAGGCCTAAAATAAAAACTTGTTGTATTGCCCTTTGGACCTACCCCAAAATCTGAAAATCTACGGTCAGCATTTTTTTTTTTTTTTTTTTTTTAATTAATGAATAAAAAATATGTATTTTGTTTGTTTAAAAGGGATATAAATGCATAAAACCAAATTATTCCAAAATTCTCACTTGTGCAAACCATGGGTGATTATGAGGTGAAAAAGATATCAATGTAATGATGACATTGAAACACATGTATTAAAGCATTAAAATCTGAAAAATATCGGCCAAAAGAGGGCAAAAAAAAAAATTAAAACAAAAAAAACATTTCCGACTGACCGACCCATGTTTTGGCACCCAAAGGGCAATACAAGAAGTTTTTATTTTAGGCCTAAACTGAAAACTTAGCATGGAGCCTATGCATAAATTCTTTTCTTCTACTTTCTAGGACCTTCGATTGCAGAGGGTACCAATGATGATGATGCAGGCTGTGCAGCAAACGGGTACGGGAGGACCGGAGGTACTGAGCGTGGCTGAGGTACCCATCCCCAAGCCTGGACCTCATGAAATCCTCATGAGAATACATGCATCGGCGATAAACAGAGCTGATACCCTTCAGGTGAGATTGACATAAATGTTTTGCCAGGCCCAGCATTTACAAGTCTAGTAGTCACTAGTCAATTACTGAGCCCCCAAGATCTTAATGTGTACCAATTGTGTACAGTTAGAATGTATTTTTTTTTTTAAAGACCTAACAAATTTTTAACAAACAATATATGGGCTAACAGTTAATGAGTATGAATGAAATAAAGGATAAAGCAGAACCCAAGTCTGACTTGAGACTAGAGTGGGCGTTAAAGAAATATTATTTGCAGCTCGTATTTAGAGTATGAACCCATGAAATTAAGAGCTAAATACTTGTTGGTGATTGGTAAACTTTGAGTCCTAACTACAACTGGGTTTTGAAAGAAATTGAAGTGGGATTAGGCATGGCATTTTGAAGAAGTAATTCCAACTTGACCACGGTAGTAGTAGTAGTAGTAGTATTTATTTTCGTATAAAAAACATAGTAAAAATGCATAAAATACGATGGATAGCCCACATTCAGCTAACCCGACATGGGAAAGCTGGTCTTCCGTGGGGTCCGGAACAATTACATAAACAAAACAAAACATAAATACATTATATGAACAACAGTAAATACATTTTGAAGAAAGAACAAAAAGAAGTAATATAAGATAAAGGGATTTTTAAAAAAATAAAAAAAATAAAAAAAAACATTTCATAAAAAACAAGTAAGGGGAGCCTTCCAAAGTTGCGACTGTGCCCGGACGCGTCGGGGCGCGATGAATAGAACAGTCGCGTCTCAAGAGACGCATTGAGGCGCAAAGGGGCGCGAAGGGGCGCAATAGTCACCCTCATCTGATTCTTGCATATGAAAAGAAACTGTCTATTGTTGGTATAAACCCGCTCTATTCTTCTTGCGCCCTTTTGCGCCCTACCAGGCGATGGAAGATTATCTTTCGCGTCATTGTTCTCGCTCGGGATGCGCGGTACAGCTTAAACTTGATATATAGCAAGTATTTGTCGGCCAAAGCCTGTCTTCCCCTCCTCCGGTTCTCGTTCTGATAAACACTCCATTGTTTGTAAAAACTTGATGTATTCTTCTCGCATCGCGATCTATTCTTCTCGCGCCGTTTTGCGTCGTAACGGGCGGGGTATTATCTTTCCAATCATTGTGGAAGCTTTGCGATGTACATTGCTACAGCACAGCATGAACTTGTCTGGTGGGAGCGTCTTTGTTTCGGGGGGCAATCAACACACATTTTATTTTTGTTGGGTTTAATACGCCTCCTTTTAATTTTTGTGACGACTGTATGAAATGTGAAATAAAGATGACTATGTACGATTAATGGCTGTTTAATTGCGAGCTTGATTGTCCCCAACAACAAAAAATAAAAGGCGAATGATGTGAATGAATACATGTATGCGGTTATAGTTGGCAAATTGATTACTGTTTAGGACGCTTGTTATGTTTGTAATTTGAATGATTATCAACATATTTGTATAATTCCCACATCGCGATATTATTCTAGCGTCCTAATAATGGACAAAGGAATTATCTTTCTCTCCCGTCATTCATATTCACGCTACGCGTTGCCACAGCCTGAGCTTGGAAGAATATATATTTTGTCAGTAAAATCCTCTTTTTTTCTTCTTCTCCTCCCTTGACTTGGTTCTAATAAATTGAAGGTTTGCTTATTAGGGATAAGGAGGATAACATCAAACAAAACATCAAACAAAAGATCTACTTAAGATGACGCTCTTTTCATTTCAACTCGCTGTTTGATAAAGTAGAGTTCTGTATGGAGCGAATACAAAAGAAAAGTTCGCTCTAAAGGAAAAAACATAAAATGCTGTGGCAGGATATCACGCCAGAGATTTGCCTTCGAAAATTGCCCGTCCTTAATGCGTTTTAATATAGTATTAATGACTGCTTTGAGAGAAATAGTTGTTTTATTACGCTCAAGGGAAGGTTAGAATTGTGCTATTCCCCGAGGCTTGCCGAGGGGAATAGCCCAATTGTAACCTTCCCGAGAGCGTATGAAAACAACTATTTCTCGAATATTAAAGCAGTCATTAATACTTTTATATGCCGAAAAAAAATAGACTAAAAAATGAAAAATTAAAAATATTTATCATTTTGTCGAAGACGGGATTCGAACCCTTGCGTACGTACAACAAGAGGTGTACCGAAAACCAACGCTTACACCACTCGGCTATGGCCCGCCGTTAACATGCTTGGCAGTTTTCTCCAATATATACATTAAAATGGATTGAAACCGGCTTCGCGTGTGATGAATGCTTTGCAAAAGCTCCATATACGGACTCTTCTTTTACTTTTGCAATGCATATTGGCACGAACTTAGATCAAGATCTATCGGCAGATGTTGTTTTTTTGTTTTTGGAAGTTTATTTTCGTCTTCATGTCAACAATGCAAGATAAAATTGTCGGTAAGATCGATCGAGATTCAATTGTATTGAAATTACCGACCAATCCTTCGCACACATACGGCATCCTCCATCGCTCAAACCATTTTTTAACATGTAAACCTATGGGGTAACCATGGAGGCTGACCAACTTTTTTTAATAACCATGGTTATTAAAAATATTGAAATGTTTTATGCATGGTTACCGAGAATTTTACAGGAACAGTTGAAGTTTATGAATGCAATTCGACCAATCAGATGGCTGGATTTCTTAAGTGAGGTATATAAATCATAATAATTCCATAGCTCTTTTTAAAAGTGGAATGAATAGAAAAAAGAGTCTAGGAACTATATCGAGATTATAAAACATGTGTGTCATGAAGATGTAAACAAAAAGCGTAGCTTGATGGCGATAAAGTTGAGCAGCAAATGGAAATGCCATACAAAACATTAAGCAGTTCATGGTGATAATTTATCATTCGACTTCTACTTTGCGCTATATGTACTAAATGATCGCAAAACGGGCAGGGACACAAATACAAACATCGAGTTCTGCTCTAACATTCGAATCATTTATTCGTAGATTTGTATAATTAAGTGGCGAAAGTGAAATTTTGAAATCATACTGCATAGATACAAAAACATACCAAACATGTTTTGATTCTTAATCCAAAAAAAAAAAAAAAAAAACACACGCAAATTTTAAAAGATCTTTTTAAAAGGAGGGAGGCGCTTGAGCCCAGTGGTAGAGCAGAGCAGCTCGTAACCGGGAGCTCCCTGGTTAGAAACCAAGTCGATATGCTAGTGCCCTTTGGTAAGGCATAACTCAACATTACATTTCGTTCGGAGAGGTCTTAAAGCCGCCGGTCACCTGTTTGCCTAATTCAGAGCATATGCTTCATGTAGCAGTCAGGTAAAAAAAAAAAAAAAAAAGCAAACGGTACAGGAAGCTACCTTTTATGGATAGGCCTAAATTGAGGTTTGACTTAACTAGGGAGAAGAAGGATAACATCAAACAAAAGATCTACTCATGATGACGCTCTTTTCATTTCACCTCGCTTTAAGATAAAGTAGAGTTCTATAGAACGAATACAAAAGAAAAGTTCGAATGCTGTGGCAGGATTTCACGCGGCCGAGCAAGGCTATTGTTTGATCGCTATAATTGTCCGATTTGCTATAGATTCTTGTTTAGGTACACTATTAAGGCTGCGTATTATGTGTGTGTGTGTGTGTGTGTGTGTGAGGGAGGGGGGCGGCGAAGTGAACGGCCGGACGTAAATGGCAGAGGCCCATCAGGAGGGCTCCGCTCGCTAGTTATAAGGACCGCTATTCATTGGACAACTATTCATGAAGACCGCTATTTGTAATTTTAGAACATGGTCATTATGCATAAGGGTCATGAATTCGTAATACGATATCCCCCTCCCCAAAACTAAATAAATAAATAGAAAACTAATGATGCAATAACAAATAATGCCCGGTAATTGGTGATAGCCGCCTATGAGCGGAACAATGGGCGCACCAACTATTAGCTGCTCAAAGAGCTGTCTTTTGTCATTGCGTTGCAATAACAATGTCCTTGTAAAAGTTACATGTACTATAACATCCGTATGCTATATAACACCCAATGTGAACATGACGTGTTCAGGCCTTATAACTAAATACAGTGCACCAATGCAGTGCACGTTAAAACAAGAGACTTTACTAGCGTTAGCTAACAAATATGAAACGTCAAAACCTCACGAGCAATTGATGACAACAAATTGTTACGTCAAATGCCACCACCAATACAGTTTCTTCACGAAGAAATATTCAATCAAATTTCATGTTTGGAACATATATAGGCGATTTCGAATGGTTCGAGGTGAAAATAACGAATATCGTGTCCGATAAACACTCCTTCTTTCTTCAAGGTCCCATACGATTCAAACATAATTTACAATGTTTATTTGCAAATAATAATCTCTCTGGGAGTATATCGATTTCCCCGATAATGCAGATATTCGTGTTTTTTTCGTAAAATTAGTTTTATAATTTTGCATAGAGACAGTGTTCCTTATGATTCGAGCAGAATTTTGGTGAGTGCATTTCGAAAAAGAGCGTCTTCCATCTACCGAAACGTTTTGATAATGCAGGCTCCCGACAATACGATTATCATTTTTGTAATATCTTTAATTTGCAGATGTTTGTTCGTTTCGTATGACATATTTATAAACGCCCTATAATCGTATTTCAAGCAGAATCTTACAATGTCTTTGATTATAAGTATTTAGATTTAGAGAACCTACGTTTCTATTCTTTAAATCGATCTTGCATGAGAATGAACAGATTGATGATAAAGATATATGACCTATTTTGATCGGATGACAGAACAAAATAATGCAATATGAAACAATAATGTGCCAAAACATACAGAAAGAATACAATTATACATATCGTTTCTGTTTTGTTTGTGAACAAATTAATATAATTGAAGTATTGAACACATTGATGAACAGAAATGAACAATCATGCCAACGTCAATGCCTAAAACACTTCGATGTTGGGAGGGAAATTAACAATCAGAATAAGAATCTAAATCAATGTCATGTACGTAAAATAATAATGAAACAAATCAGTAGCCAAAGT